TTGAAAAAATGTTTATTCTGTAAAATATGATTTGTCACGGCTGCGCAGTACTATTCACCTAATCTCTACAGTGATCCTAATTTACTCAAATAATTAGAATCACACTTCAACTTTACCAAGGTAAGTTTCGTTTAATTTTCTAATTGTATAGATACAGTAAGGATTCACTGTTCACACTTGATCCGTGTCGGCTGCTATTCTGAAAGCAAAGTCACATGATCATGAATTGAAAGTATACCGTATAACTCTATGTTATTGTATGATAAAGAGGACACCTTTTAAGAGTGACTGAAGTAGTTTTCTCTATGAGCTTTCATCGTCGTCGGGACGACTTCATCAGATGAAATGATTTGTGAAATATTAACGACGTAACTTCAGACGTTGAAACATCATAACGCACTGCAACGCACATTCAAAGAAACCGTTCCTTATAATGGTGGGAATAAAACACGAGATTAAATGTAGTGGAAAACCAGGCAAACTATTAAGGCCCTGTCTGACAATCAAAATCACCAATGAATTTTAACAATAATAATAACTCTGTATTATACATGAGTAAGAATTAAACCCAATACAAGACATGATCAGCCAATGGATACGCAAAACTTCGATGGACAATCTGTTTAACAAATACACAAGTACAAGTAGATTGGATGGACAGATTATGTTGCTGTGATTAAGTACATGATCAGAAAAGATATACAACCTCTCACAATTTAACAATATATACTTATATACAAAACTATAAATATCAAACAAAAAAGAACCGATACACCGAATGGCATTTAGCAATTGTGAGTACGATATATAAACACAGCTTTATGGAACAACAATCACTGGTAAAAGTTTTATGCAACGTTTCGACGTGTTTCCCCCGTCCTCCTCAGCACATATTTAGTCAAGTGAAGCAACTCGAAAGAGTAATATAGTTTCGTGTGAGTTGAAATGATAGCTTGCCAGGCAAGGTAACATACGTACACTGACAGCTGTCAGTGATGATAACTAAATCTTTATTGACCAAATATATATTAAAGATCTTAATAAAAATACGTAATTTCTCATATTGAAGATCTTCATCATGCATTTGTAGTTCAAAAAACCTTGAATATCTCATCAATTTAGGTTTCGGGGAAGGGAGGGTTTGATTCTCCCAAATGTACAGGCCTAGGGTGGAGCAGACACTTTATTTAGAAATTAGGATTAAGGGTCTTGATATTGGGTTTTCTTCTGTTCTTATTCTGATCTGAAATTAGAAAAAATAACTCACTCGATGGGCGAGAAGTATAGTATCTGTTATATACTGATTGTTTTTAGTTTACTATGAACAATATTATCATTTAAGTTCTTATTTTTTGAATATGCAACTATCATTTTCTGCTTATAGACATGGGGGAATTTCTCTTGAAGGCTCTTATAGTGGGCATGAACTATTTTGCTTGCTCGATTGCTGGTTGTAAACGGGACAACAAAGGGTGCTATGCCTACATTATGATGAATATTTAGTCCTATAGGTCTTGCTGTATTCAATGTCTCAATCCAATGGGCCTCCCTAGATTGACGGAATTTGGTAGTTTCATCTTCGGTCAAGTCAATTTCTATGCGCTTAATTGGGATTAGGGTGAGATCGTCTATTGAATGGTCGTCGAGGTTGAAATGATTAGAAACAGGCTTGTCTTTCTTTAATTTGATGTCTGACCTATGAGCATTAAAGCGAGTTCGTAAATTATTCTTAGTTTCTCCTACATATTGTTTGGGGCATTTCTTGCATGAAATTAAATATATTACATTCGAATGTTCACATGTAAGATGTTCCTGGATCGGGTACCTTTTATTCGTAGAGTTGCTTACAAAATAATGAGTTTCTGATATAAAGGGACATGTTTTGCATCTACTGGACAAACATGGAGCACTTCTTAAACCTGGGGGTACTTCGGCATAAAGTCTGTTTTTAGCTGCTATCTGTGCTTAGGTGGAATTTTTTATGTTTCGTAAAAATCGTTTAGAGTACCAACGCTCTTTCAGTTTTGAGAAAACAATCGTACAGGCTTGGTTGAAATCAGAAGATCTTGTACAAAT